TTATATCTGTTGTGCAAATACTGGGGATCCGAGGGCTTTGTGACGGCCCTGATGGGGTTTGCTGGCAGGGGCCTTCTCCCTCATGAATGGACCCTTAGGGCCACATGGATGAATTTGTATTCAGGACTTACCATCCTTCAGGAAGAGCTGCCAGGGGTCCTGGGCTCCAATCTGCAACAGCTTTTGAGGTCCTTATGACCCCCATAGGCCTTGGTGATCTTGACGAGATACACCAGGAAGGCACAGCCCTGCTGGCTCTGGGCACCCAGCCCTTGCCTTGTGGATTTTGGACCTACCTTGTAGCTCAATTTCCAGCCCTGTCTCTGCCAGTATTTCCTGGTGGTCTGGACCAGGCTCATCCCCTCACCTTGTCCAGGGCTCCTGCCTTAATCCCCTGTGGCCCAATGAACCATCACTGAGGGTTTGGGTGGTGCTTGACTCCCCCTCAGCTCCCAGGTGCTCTCCCTCATGACACAGCTCTGTTCTTACAGCTGCCTGCTGTTTCTTTTCTTTCACATGAAGTGCCTCCAGAGGACCTCCATGGATCAGAGTGATGGGGATGGAGAGCAATATATATATATATATATATATATATATATATATATATATATATATATATATATATATATATATAAAGACAAGAGTGTACATACTTATGTTTCTATTCCAGGACTGCTATTGGGATAAACTATTAAATTTGCTGTCTAGTTTATAAACTAAGAGCTAAGAATTGGTGCATTACAGCAGGAGAACAGCACTTGACCCAACACAACACACTTCTGGAGCAGTTTCTATTCTCTGTGAAATCTGGTGGCTTTACCCCTGCCCTAGTTATTTTTTTGAAGAGGGAAAAACTACTATGTGCTAACCTGAATTGATATACACAACTCCATCTGAGCATTTTCGTTTTACAAAATACTGCCTTGCACCAGTGACACAGCCCTTTGGCTCTGCTGCTCTTGAGCCTCCCCAAAACAAGGAACAGGCCCTTCTTGAACAGATAACTTCTACTTTTCCTCTGGAAAAAAAATCATACCACCACTTCCCTTCCCCCAGCTTGAAAACCTGAAGAGTAACAAAGTACCACATAGTTCATAAAGATTTTTTTTCTCACCCAGTTGTCTCATATCCAAAGAGAGACAGTAATTACTGTATTACCTCTCACCTAAGACATGGATAAAAATAGGCTGGTGTCACATTGCTATGACTGCTTGTTTGCAAGGCTGGCTGAGCTATCCCAGAGCTTTTTGACATTAACACTCCAAAGGTGCAAACAGACCCATCTCTCACGATCCTGAGGTGGCCAGCTGGATGCATCCAAAGCTCAGGCAAGCTCTGTTGCTTTTCCTTCATACATTCCACTTTTGAGCCTGCAAAGCACTGAACTCCAGCAAACAGTCCATCCTACAGGCACTCTTTTTGCACTACTTTTTCAGCACTGCATCCCAGTGCCTGCATTAAGATCACACAGCAAACACCCTGCAGGCAAAGGGAAACTTCTTTTTCCTACTTATGAGGTAATCAGCTTGGTTCAGCTTTTACACCTCTGAAGTTTTCAGCACTAGGAAAATAAATGTAGAGCACAGGTTGGATGTGAAATACACAGAAAAAGTATGCAGCCAGACCCAGAGTGTGAAAAATTGGACAGAGTTGCAGAGTGGGAATGCAAGGAGCAGAATTCTCCCTGGATCCTGAAACTGAGACCATGATCATGGGCTGGACAGGCATGCTCCACAGCCAGTTTCTCGTCCCTTCCTCCTGATTTCAGTGATATAACAACCCCAAATTTACATCACTACAAAGCCATAATGAGCAGCAAGGGGAAACAAAGGCAGACATACTTTTTATTAATCAATAATTAGATGCTACCTTCAGGAAATAATCTGAAATAGTCTTCTATGCCTTAGGACAGAATAAAGTTTTCATTACAGACCACATTACATCAGCCATATTTGGGGTTATGCCTGAAATTCCTGGTGTGATAAATTCAAATAAGTAACATTATGGTCAATTACCTTGGCAGGGAGAGGGCAGAATAGAAGATAAAAGAGAATATGAAGCTGAAAGAGCCATAAGCAGTGTGTTAGCTGCTAAACCAGAAAAGGACATAGCTGTATGTCTAAAGGAGGCATGCACTAACTCAGATACCACATTCCAGACTGATGCCCAGGAGGTTCATGAAGGAAGAAGGGATGAGATGTCATACAGAAATGCAGGTCATCATACAGGAAATACGGATAGCTAGAGCAGTCTTGCCTGGGATGTTACCATGTGGCAGGAGGCTGTGAATATGATGAATGGTATCAGGGAAAAACCAGGTTTCAATGAGATAGTACCCCAGTTAGAGGGTGTCGCACTGCTTTCAGCTGCCCCAGCAGAAATGTTAAAACTCAGTGCTGGCCCAGGACATGGAGAAATGGAGTTAAGCTCCAAGACCTGGATGCTAGGACAATTCTGGGGACAAAGGATCATTTTCTTCCTGTTTTAGAACACAGACTGCTCTTTGAAGGCTCTGGGGAAAATGCCAGCACACATAGAATGTTCAACTTGGGACAATACAGATAATTTTGTGAAAAAAGTGTCTAGGCTGGGAGGGCTGGAGTGGGAGTTTTGAACAGAAATAAGACCCTGTTGTATCAACCTCAGGCAAGGAAAGCTACTGACCATACAGTTCAAGGCTCACATTTGAATCCTCTGAGTCTCAATAGCATGCTTGTAAATAAAACATTAATGAAACAGCTCCTTTAAAGATGAATATATATGTAAATATTAAGAGTAAGACAAGAACTGTGAAAAACACATTGCCTCACTGCTCTGTTCTGACTGCAGTTCTCTGGAGAGTTTTCTCTGTGGAAAGCCCTAAGACCTCAAATGTTGCTTTTCAGCTGAAATAAACAGGATAAAGGGAGAAATACCTGGAGAGAATACTGTTGATGTCAGGTGTTTTTCCATGTGGAACTGACCACCTGCTGCTTTGGAGATGCCATCTCCCATAGACATATTTTTAACCTCCACTTTGCAGATACTTCTGTTTACCAGACAAAATCCCCCAAAACCCAACAACAACAAATATTGTGCCTGCCTGTGTGAAAAAGAGGGAGGATGACTGTAGAACTGTAAAACTTACTCAGGTCACTTCAGTGTTCTACCTAAAAGGCTTCCCTACTAGGACACTTATCAGGCTGTTTCTGTAGCCAGTAGAGAGATTCAGGCCCTTCAGGTGATTCACCTCATCCAGTGAGGAAGGAAAGTATCCTTACACAAGGAAAATATCTGGAGGAAACATGCTTTGAAGATGCTTCCCCTGCCAGTTCATTGCCCAACTGACCTTTAAATAACAGGCACATATTGTAACAGGCTCCCACCACATTGGAATGGATATTGTCCACTTGAAACCTCTTCACTTGTCCCAGTTGACAGACATACTTGCCTCTTGGCATAGCAAAAAGTACACAACCAAAAAAGGAGAGACACCTTTCTTTTGGTAACAAAGCCAGGAGATCCTGTTTGCTAAAACATAGTCCTTGGTAACCTCAGATGCATCAGAGAGCAAGTTCAACTTCTGTGCTAACTAGAGGAGCGAATATTTAATGCATAACACATTCTGGTTTGCCACTGAGATGGAGCAGTGGGATGGATGGCTGAGGGAAACAGTGGCTCTTGCTGGAACCTCTGTGTGACAACCAATTCCCCCCTCCATTAGACCCAGACCGCTGCTCTGCAGTCTTTAATGCAGAGACAGAGAGAGATGTGAGGGCCATGTATGTGGATAAATCAGGGATTTGCAGTAATGAAATGTTATAGTCAACTTTATTAATGCATCTTCAGTGCAAAGGGAAAATATCCTGGCACAAAAGAAGACCAGTGAGTTGAAGAACACTACAGTTCCATGTTACACTGCCTTCCTCCTTTGCACTGATTTGGGCAGTGTGTATAATGCTCAGAGAATCATGTACCCCTTGTTCCCCCACTACTCAGCACTCAATATTACTCAGCACAGTTAAAATCCTTCAAGCCTATCCTCAGCCAAAAATCACCCTAAAATCAGAGAGAATAAAGACTGAATAGGAACCAAAGTCCCAACTCAATTCTCAGTACAGCTTTGCAGAACAACCATCAGGACTGGAAATACATTTGATTTTTATCATCATGAGAGAACAGCTAGGCCCAGTAATCCCAATTCTACCCTCTCTTAATTTCACCATCAGCTGGACAGATAACACAAAACAGAGTCTGGCATCTGGTTACTGAGGGTTAATTCATGAAGTAGCTGTATGGAAGAGAAAGGAAACAACCTCTCAGGCTCTTTTTCTCGTATTCTGTTTCCTACAACACTCTGAAAAACACTTGGCTTAAAAAAGCTGTTCATATTTCCCCTTGTGCCAGACACCACATTTTGTTTGGCATATACATTTCTGATAGCCTTTCCTCCACAGATGTCTGTAAAGTTCACATCAGTCACTTCTTCAAACTAGGTATATTAACACCAACACAGACAATTTTGTTCCAAGCACAGTTTTTCCTTACGTCTATGTTCTGCTGTTCACTTTTGCTTCTGTAAAGCTGACAGTATTGCTACATATGCAGGACAATCAGGACTCCTGTGATGCTTAACACAGGCTGTACAGTGCTGTAATGGCCCATTTTCACTGTCAGCAATGAGGCCTGACACGTCAGCAGCTTCTGGCACTAGCAGCTTTCTGAGGGAAAGGGGAGATTTCAGCTTTATTTCATTTCTCTCTTTCACTTTTTCTACCTTCCTTCCAGAAATGCCAATTCTTGAAAACGCGCGTGTAGAAATAAAGAAAGAAAAGAAAAAGAAGGCAACAACCACCATAACATCTCCTCCCATTTATCACTGTAACATTTCTTGGGTGGTAGAACAGGATCCAGTGACGTTAGGGGTGAGGAGGAAAAGGCAGGGGGCAAAGAGGCAGCATATTTCAGACTCCTTAAAGCCATCAGAAGAGTTAGAGATATGAAAAACCATTTATAATTACCTCTGTTGAGTGAAGCTGAACTGTTTATATCTCCAGTAATAAAGGAAGACTCGGACTGCTTTCGAACTGTGTCATTCCACATCCTACGAATCCGGCTCTGAAGAGGGATTGAAGCACAGCAGGCAATGAATTTTTAGCAGCTGTAGAGAGGTTTCTTTCTGCCTCACTAAGGATGGCTACTGGCATGTCTAGCTCAGGACGAGACTTGCTCCTAGCCAGCTGTAAGCAAGCAGTTGCTGTTTTGTTGTAACCTGCCTCATGCATGCCAGACCTTGCCACACTTACTTCGTAACACAAATGCCTAGCTCAAAGAAAAAGTGTAGAATTGAATTGCTTACATCTTAATTTAAAAAAAAATACATCATGCATGAGAGAAACTCAGACTCCATGCCAGCTGCAGGTTTACCAATATAGCACCAAATAATGGAAAAATAACCCACACACAGAGGCACGTGTGCTTCTCATACTCAGACAACTTGTTTCTTATTTTTTGTGAAGTGTAACAGAAGACTTGATTTGTGTCTTGGTGTCCCTTAATGAACAGAAGTTTTCTATAGCTATTTTCCATCTTGGGGATTTTAGGGGGGCAAAAAAATTCCCCGCAAATGAATGACTTCTGTTCCCATACTGAAAAATCTGTGATGCTTTTACCATCTGTGATATAGCTTCTGCTACTGGCAAAAGTGTCCTGAATATGTTGGCCTTCTGTTTTCTTCCTCAAATATGCTGTGAAGTATCTGCCTCTGTGGCATTTACATCACTGTCTCACTCCTCCCCAACTAGACCTTGCAAAAAATATCAAAAAATCAGGCAAAATGCATCTTGTGAGCAGTTCAATCCCAATCCCTGCATGAAGGTGACTGCAGAACCCAGGTGTCCCAGGGAAACTCTCTCTCACCTCATGTCTGTGACTCTGATGGACATTTTCCCTGGCTGTGTGAAAGTGATGGTAGGTGGTATGGGGGACTGGGAAACCTTTTTCCCATTGTGACAGACCAAGTTTTTCTTAAGTGCCAAAAATCCAGTGGTTTCTCTCGTGAGATTTTAGCCATGAGAGATTTACCAAGGCCTAATCATATGGTCCCAGACTGAAAAGTCCTAGATTACTCCTTAACCATGGAATAACAGCATCTCCTAATAATGCATTAGCCCTCTATAAATGGAAGTACCATGTGACATGAGGCCCATGATCTTTCACAGTAATTATTTTTCAGCTGGACATTTAATTTATTCTATTTGTCTGACATGATCCATTGTACATTAATTATTCTGTTTTCTCTGTGCTTCTCAGAGAATAAAGGGATCTTAGAAGCTTTCCTCCTCATGGTCTTCTCTATTTAAAGTTAGGACCCAATGTTTTCAACAACTTAGGCTGATCTCCATCTATTCTCCATCACCTGTGTGAGGTTTCTCCTGGCTACAATAGGCTTTAGGAACTTCCATCCTTTCAAGAACACACTTCTGCAGGCAAAATAAGACTCAGTTCACCCTCAAAAGGGCTTGTTCTCTTGTGCTGGGACTGGTGAGAGGGTGGACCATTGAAGTCAACCCTTCTTAGAGAGGAGGGCACCAGCACAGCAGCTAAGTTTTGTAACACCAGAGGCTTTCAAATCAGCCACCTAAATGCTGCTGGATATTTTGAGTTTTGGACATTACTGGGGTTTGATGGCCTGCTGGAGAGAGGTTCTATATTCTATTGCTTTTATTTGCTCTGCATAGCTACCAGACCTTTGAAAACACCAAAGCAGAGCTTTTGGATGACATCTTGGAAACCACTGCAAATAAATAATGATTTGCTCCAAGACATAAATTGCAAATTAGGTTTTCCTGGAAAGTTATAAGCTGTTACTCGCTGCATGTCTTTTATAATTTAATAGTGGAACTGTCATGTATAATTACTTCCATTACTAATACTGAATAAATTTGTGTTTGGTTTCTATTGATTAAGAAATAAGCTTCTTCATTTTATATGAACTCTTCATCCATAAATCTGCATCTCTACACACAAGTTAGCTTCAAAACTGCTAAGTGTGCAAACTGCACAAAACCTGAATTTTCAGGCGAACAAAGGCAACAAATCTAGTAGCTAGTGAGACAGTCTGACCCCAATGGCTTTCCCTGAGAGGTCTATAGGCTAAGACAAATTGTGTGAAGCACAGAACAGACCAAACCACTGCATGTCAGACAGCCAGCTCTTTCACTGGGAAGTCTGCTACAAGACACTTGTAGCATTAAAATCTTTTTACAAGAAAAACACTCGAGGCTTATAGCATCATTCTTGTACATGTTAATAGTTAATAGTGACAACCTTCATCTCATGATTAAAGGATGTACTGGAATGCAGCACAGCTGACAAAATGCTCCCACCTCCTGCTTCCCATGGAGAGCAGGCAGGACACCTCAGGTGATAACTGCCTCTGGAAGGCAAGCCTGCACTTTTCATTCTCAGCAGAACTATTCAGAAGGTTCTTGGAGAGGCATTTAATTGCCAACACATCTCAGGGGAGACCACTGTGTCGAGTTCAGGTCTGGAAGTGAGGGAAATCTCTGCAGGTGCACTGGGGAGTGGCCTAGGGCAGCTCCTTTGGTGCCGAGAGGAGCTTTCCTCCCAGAATAGCTGAGAAGGGTCTTGGCATGGCCTTGGGACACAGACAAAATTGTGGGTTACCTGTGAGCCTGTGGAATATCTTCCAGGTGTCCTTGACCCCGAGGTTTTTCCTGAGCCGATGGAGCTGTCTGTACTTTTCCCACTACAGCAATGTGTGCGCAGGCATTTCCCGTACTCCTTACGGACCTGGCCAGGGAAAGAGCAGAGGTGGTGAGCAGGCAGCCCCACCTCCAGCCCACTGCCTTCTGATTGTCAACACAGCCCCTGGTTTTTCCTCAGTGTTTCACTGACACAAAACCTGCTGCAGTGTGTGGGAAAGCAGGCTGGTACCCCTTGCAGCTGAGCTCCTGGCTGAGGATGCCACAAGAGACTTCAAAGCTGCTCGTGGCACCAGCCAGCTACAGCATCCTCTGAGGCACATCACAGGAGCACGGGAGAAAGTGCAGGTACACTATTTGTGACTGAAAATTAATATTGTTGTAGATTTGATATAAACTAGCATATTGGCTCATCAAGGCACTAAAAGTTATTGCTTCTGGCAGGGGACTAAGAAAGAAGAATTCCAAGAGAAATATATGAAAGCTATTGATTTTTTTATAAAAAAAAAAAAGTTTCTTGCAGTCAAATTGAAATTTGAGGAAACAGTAGAACCGGTAGCATTAGAGATTATATTCCCAATGCTCAAGGATGGCTGGAGCCTGCTTTTCCACAGCACTGTGCAAGCCAATCATGCTTTAAATGGGCATTGTAGGCAAACCCATGCCACGTCCTTTGCTTCAGAGGAGCTATGCTGACTTGTGCCAGGACAGGATATAACCTTCCACCAAGCTTGAGGTGTGACTTTTTATGGGCAGCAATACCCAGAAACCAGATGGGACAGGGATAAAGGTGAGCAGACTGTACTGAAGAGCCAAAAGAGGGTCATGTTTCCCACTGACACAAAAAAAGCCCCCAAACCATCATGCATGTCCAAAACACCAGTTGCAATTCCTTGAAGCACACGGTTAGCTGTACAGTTTTGCCAAACTCTCCATGAGCATTTCACAACTCTGTGAAGCAACTGTTTAAACAGCAAATTACAGCTTTTTCATTAGGCTCTTCCTTAAGCGCTTGAGACAAACACATACCACAAGTGCCCAATATGCTTGAGTGCCTAATCAATCCTTTGCTGAGAGAAAATAATTCAATTGCTTTAATTAGCCACCCACTGCTCGCCTCTCTGCAGCGCTTTGCCGATATTCTAGGCCATGACAGATAGGAAAGGAAATTTTTTTTTTTCCGTTTAAATAATACCTCCCTCAGCTCTTAGGTCAGAGAGGTGCATCCACCCCACATCAAGGTACCGGCTGCATTCTCCTTCCCTCTGTGCAGCCGTAAATCAGGAACAATTCCACCATTATCAGTAAAGATTTAAGGGTGTAAATTGGATTAAGACAGAAAAGAGAATGGTTCTGTTATGCTGACTGAGAACCCCACGGGCAAGAAGGCTGTGGAGCAGTGTAGGGATGCTGGGCTAGGGACTGACCCTTTGCGGGGTGCATTGGAGCTGAGAGGATGTACCAGTCAGAAGAGTGCAGAAAAAAAAATTCAAACTCCTCACAGAGAAGCACCTGCAGGTTTAATAAGCAATGGTGATATTTCCTACACTCTTATTATCATTTTGCCTGGAAACTTTCTTGCTGAAAGGTTTGGGATCATCAGCAGGAAGTTGCATCTAGATAAAGCTTTAAAGCTTTTTAAGGTGGACAAATCTGAGATGCAACAACAAGGATAAAACTCTTAACCCAAAAGTCTTCCTTTGGTTTCAAGAATGACATTTGCACATAGCTCTGCAGATCCTTACAAAGGCATCACTTGCAGAGCTCACTTTTTATAATTTTGATTATGTTCTCATGGGTCAGATCTCCCTTGACTGTATGGGAAAATGTGAGTAACAGAGGAGCAAGCCTGTGGCTCTCAGATTGAGGACAGATCTCAACACAGACCTGACTTTACTCAATAGCTATTTCACCAAAAGTTACTGGTTACCCTGAGAAACTGGCACCAGTGTATCCACATAAAGTCTTCCCTACTGGTTCAGTAAACTTTTGAAACTAAAATGCTAATTATCAGCAGACATGCACAGAATTGGAGAGCTCTGTATAACAAAATTTAAGTAGAGAACAAAAAGTTTCTTAAAAATACTTATTACTGATTGTCAGAGGCTGTAAATTTGATCTACATAAACACCGAATTTTCATTCTGTTGTGTTTACTTTTTCCCCTTGGAGTTTATCTAAGTTACTCCACTGTTATCTTGCAAATGTTAATTGGGGCATACTTCAATTTCCACCAAGAAGCACTTCCTGTGCTTGCTTTGAGGAAGATTTCCAAAATACTGCATCAGACCCAAGCAATACAAAGGCTAATGAACCACTGCAGAACACAGGTCCCTCACTTCTCAAAAAAGCAGGGGAAGCAGCCCCTATTACATCCCATCGACCCACATATGCTGCCATGGAAAGGGGCAATTTCCTGCAGGGGCTGCAAATGAGGATGTAAAGCTCCACTTTGCTGTGAGCACTCAGCCACAGGAGCACTTTCTGGATGCTGGTGGATTCTCTCCCCTCTCACACTGGCATGCAAGGAAGGACAATCTGGCTGACAGCAGGGAAAGCCCTGACAGCAGGACCCTGCAAACTGACAGCTGCCTTCTCCCTTGTCTCTGACACATCTGCCAGGGCCCTGGCTGCTGAAATGCCACTGCCACAGATCCTTGTTAGAACCTCATTCCCCAGCACCTTGCTGGTTTCCAGTCTAAATACCACCCTTATTAGGTGCACGGAGATAAATCTGTGTGATAGGAATTCAGGGAGCACAGAGGATGCTATGCTGTGGTTGTTAGGCAACAAAACACCTCGTTACCACCTCTCTTGCTGCTGGGAACCATCATCTTACCTTTTTCTGGAGGACACAATGGAAAATGAATATAAACATTCCCTGCAGAGAATTGAATATGGTGAAGAGATACGCCATGATGACTGTGCTTTCATTAATATACATGAGTCCGAATGCCCAGGTCAGTCCTAATAGGCAGAGTAGGGCTATTGCACCTATAACCCAGGACCTGTCAGGAGAAACAAAACAAAAAGAAAAAAAGAATGGGATTGGTTTTTCGGCTACACAAAAGAAGGCATGTGTCTACAGGCAGGAAGATTTTGCCCCTGGTTTTAGCAAGAAGAAAATAGCATTTCAAAATAAATCATAGGGAGCTTTTGTCTTCAAGCTGAATGCACTTTACAAATCTTCAAGCTTGAGGAAATACAAGGAAATGGAAGTGTTATGAGCATAGAAATTTATCATAACCAAAGCACATTTATAACCACAATGTCTCTTTTCTAAATATGTAAAAGCAGTGTGCATGTAAATGACATGTAGATGTTATTTCTGCAAATGGAGGGAAAGAAAATAAACCAAATGAAATGACAACTCTGATTGTCACTTTTTTTAGTGTCCACTGGTTTCACAGGACTGCCAGCTGGATTAGCTTCTTTATTTACACTTAACACCAAGACACATGTATTGCTGCATTTTAGCTAGTCTCCCATATGCCTGTAAGCCAGATAAACAGCTACAGGCAGGTGGGCAAGCCTTCCCTGCTTGCCAGATCCACTCCACACAAGGATGTTCTTTGCCATGCTGCTTCACACTTCTTCCACCCTGCGACGAGGGGAAGTGTGTGTACTCGTACAGGCACTCACACACTACATTTGCTAACGTGGGAGCTGCTGCCACACTTCTGCCTGGAGAAAAAGAGGGGCAATCCTTCTTCACATGGGCTGTACAACTAAATCATCACTTGCTCCGCTTCAGGAGGGCAGTGGGAGTAGAGGTGTAGTAGAGGTGTGCTCGGCCCCAAAAGTTGTTCCAACAAACAGGGGGAGCAGGAGGTTTTTGCTTGCTTTCTCCCACTGACTTTCTACCTGGACAACAGAGCTGGGGACATGGGATGGCTGCTGCATCTTAGGGTTTTTGGGTGTTTCAGGAAAGCTGGAAGCTCTGCTGGGATGGCAGGTGGAGTATTCCATGCTACCCTGCTAAACAACATTTAGTCATCTCCTAAATTACCCTTTCAAAGACTGATCTTCAAACACCAGGACAAGAGAAGAAGTGTGAGAAGCAGTGTAGGAACTCTGTCCTGCTCCTAGCCTAGTTTTCACATGATGTATTACCTACAACTTTAAAGGAATTGCTGCTGCACAGGGGAGGGAGTCCACTTCTAGCTGGGAAGCAAGCAGCACCTTGAATATCTGCCCTTTACCGGAAGGCTTTGGTTTTCTTGTGCCATCCTCTGTTACCATTAGGTGTAACATCATAAAAATGAATGCACTGATATCCAATGTTTGCACCCCTTCCTCCCTGTTTAGCCCTTCTATATCCCAAATGAGACAAGACTGCAGTGAGCCAGCACCTCTGTTTCCTTGTCTGCCCCAAGGCCTCCTGAGGTGCTCCAGGAGGCTCACAGGGACAAAGACCTGCCTATGATTCCAAGACCCTTCAGCCTGGGTTTGGGCATGTTTGGGCTCCCATCTGCTAAGCAGAGCATGGGGCAAGGGGGAGAAAGATGAAGCAGCAGCAATTTGGGGGGACAAAGCAGCCCTGCAGAGGTCAGACAGACAATCTCAGCTATGGAGATGCCATGGCAGCTACAGCCTTGAATCCTTTTGCTTTTAGCAGGGCTTGTCACAAACAAAAGCATACCAATGTTGTATTCAAGTCTTTTGGTTTTTTTTTCCCTTTAGGTATTAGAATGAAAACACAGCATTAAGTCTTCCACTGAAGTTTATAAAATATGTATTATTTAACCACATGACCAGAAGAGCTCCCTAAGGTAACAGCTTATTAAGATAGTTCTTTAAAAATCACTATTATGGACCTAGCAGACCAGAACAGCTCCTTTGAAGCATTTCCAGTCAATCCCACTAATAAATATTTAGCGTGATGCAAATTGAAAATACACTCTTACAATCCTTCAGAAAGGTAGTCACTAGATAAAGTTTACAGCTTTAGTCACTTGGGATATTTTTTTCCCCAAGATTCCACCATCAGTGAGAGCATGCTATTATCCTAGTTGCATACCAATTAATAAAATACAAATAATTTTCTTTTTCACCAAAAAAAAAAAAGAAGAACAAATTAAGTGGAAACCCTCCCCCCCCCCCCCCCTTTTTTTTCCCCCAATTTCCTCTTTTCTTATCCCCAGATAAAAGCTTACTGCATTTCCAGAGTCTTTTCAAAATTATTCCCTGGAAATCAGAAAAGTATTCTGCTTTAAAGCACAGCCCATTCTTGAATCTGATTAAAGAGCCTTTGGCTGCAGATGTGTGCAGGGATGAAACAGTTATTTAGTGAAGATATGCTACCTTCAGTGATGGAAAGGAATCTGTGGGTTAGAAGACCCCCAAGAGTGCAAACTGCACACATTAACAGTGTTGTGCCTCAGAAAGCAAGACCTGGTGATAAGAGGATGTGGAGATTACTGTGAAAAGCTCCATCCTGCATCCACAGAAAAAACCAGAGCCAAGCGATGAAAGAGAACATGGGAATGGTGCTGGAAGGACAAATACAAAGGACTCTTCACCAGAAGAACAAACTGAAAGTCTATTGCAAAGTTGATTTGCTTCTATTTTGTGCTACTGCACATTAATTTTTTGGTTGCAGGAGAAAGAGCGTGGATGCCCTAAGGTATATAATTTCTAGGCATTTTTGACTTTCTTCACAGGTTTTGATTTTATTTTTTTTCTCTTTTTTTCTTGGTGCAGCTTGAGTTTTTTAATTTTTTATCTTGCTCTTTGTACAGACTTGCTGCTGCTTTTCCATGGCTTTTCTTTCCTGTAGTGAAATTTTATTGCAATAAAGAGACAAAAATATCCATTTTTTGATGCCTTTGAAAATCAGTGGTTTAGAATTAGGGACAATTAGGAGGTATTCCAATGAGTAAGGAGCTACCAATGCACACAGATTTGCTTGTACTGCTCCCATTAACTAGAAAGGGAATCATGGGGAATAGCAGCCATGCACCTTTTTGAAAATTTGCTTCTGTATTTATACTGCCATAAAGCAATCCCAGTGACAGAGCACAGGGGGCCAGAGGCTGGTATTGGTAGAACAAGTCTGTACTATGCAGGATTAAATTGGGAGCTTTCACCCTGAATTTAAGTAACATCCAATTAAAGAATATAAAGCAAATAAGGTGACAATTGGTTGGCAATACACATGCAGCACATTTACTCTGCACCTTAGCTGTATGCCTGACCATATTCCTGCACAGTTTGCTCTTCTGCCTCAAAAGCGAATGACAGAAGCTTTAATGATTTTTCAATACTGATCTGACAGCTGGTTCATGAGACCACACTGATAAATGAAATTTATCAGCCATTCAGGTCATTCTTACTTGATGAAGGGTCTGTTATCCTCATAGCTAAAGAATGCATAGACATAAAGACAAGAACACCAACATTAGAAATATAATGACATAGAGAATTGAGTTTACTGCTAGTTCCCCTCCCTTCTCCCACCAGCCATCACCAAAACCAAAGGGGGACTGGCACCAGGTGTGCCTGGAACACACCAGCCAGCCTGGCTTGCTGTCCCAGGGAATTGAAACATGACTGGGAATGCTGGCTTAATGCACAGAAGCAGGCAGGGTGCTGCAGCTACCCCTCCTGGCCACCATCCCACAGCTATCAACGGACTTTGAAATATCTTCCAAATGTCATGGCTGTCACTGGAGAAGACAAGTTTTGAAACCCCAGCATAGCCACCACAGGCAGCTTTCACATGTTCAAGTGGCAAAACTGAAGCCTGTGGGGCTGGAGCATGTTACAGGAGTATCTTGACTGCCATTTACTTTTCCAAAGTGGAACTTCCAAATTGCCACATTATGAGTCAGACTGCAGCATTCTTGAGGTAATGGGATCAGGAACTTCTAAAGCCCTGAGTGACACTACATGGACCTATTTGCTACCATTTCATGGGGCAGAGCAAAGAAAGGCCTCTGCCAGGCAAGGGTGAAAAGCAGTTCAGTGCAGTGATGAAGAAACCAAGCTGGATCACTCAGCTCCTGTCACTGTGGGGACACAAGATTAGCTGCAGCCATTTTCCATGGGGACTCTCCCTGACCTTCTGGGACAGGCTGTGTGCCTAACCCTGCCTGTGTGGCAGGCAAAGTGCAACAACTCCCAGGCCTCCTCTCCCCACTGGCACAGAGCTTTTGAACCTGAGATCCCTCACAGAAACCCCATGGGTGCCAGAGATGGAGGATGGCTCAGTATGTTCATCTCATTACCCCTGGCAACACAGACAGGGCCAGTCCATCCTGCTGAGACCTCCTTTGGCCAACACTGGCAACCTGCAGCTCCCCTACAATGCAATTAAATGAAATGAAGATATGACACAATCTGGACTTGTCAGCCCAGCAGCGTGGGCAGGAGCAGGGCCTGGATTTCTGTTGTTGTGTTCACAAACATGCAGGTTTTATGGTAAAGACTTTATACTGAAAAGCAACCTGCACAAGATTATAAAAGTACAAAATTTGAAGGTTTTTTTTCATGTTGCTGTTACTGTCCAGACCCTCACAAAGTTTTTCAGCAACCCATAATAGCATTTCTTCAAGGCAGCTGAAGGTTCCATTTTATCTTTTGTACAGACAAAATGCAAAACTGGTAAACTCGGATTCCCTTTGAGCTTGAGGCTAACACTTCAAAGCAGCTCAGGAGAAAACCACCAAAAAGACCTTAGCAGTTCTTCCCCTATTTCCAACATGGATGTGTCTAGGCAAACAGGTGACTGTTTGTGAGATTTTTCAAAGATGCCTAACTCCCAGTTTAATTCTCTACACATAAGGGCCGTGGAATTTAGTGTCTTGTAGCTCTCATGAAATACAATCCTTTTCATTTTACCAACTCAAGTGTTGTAAGAAGCTTAACTCTTGTGTTAGCAACAATTTCTGACAAAAATTACTTCAGAATGTTTTGGTTTTTTTTACCCCTGGTGAAGTCTGTGAAACCTATCAATGCTGCAGTAATACTGTGTCATTATCTGCAATACGTAAAACCCATCACTTAGACAAGAGAAAAGCCTTGGAAGAGCCTCAGTTCCCAGAAAAATGGAGGTGCTGACTGGAAAACTGAGATTATAATCACTAGTAGTAAAGGCAAGTAACTGTTGAAGCAGAAACTGTTGGAAAATTTAGCCTAGCACAGCCTGAGATGCTGCATCTGAAGCGCTATCTCCAGATTTGGGTAAATCCATCCAATAGCTGGCAGTAAGGGATATAGCCCACTGCATTTAAATTATGTGACCCTGCTCCCCCCACAGATAATGTCAGACTAGTACCCCCAAAGAGGAATTTATCCCTTAAAAGAACAGGTATTTAAGGTAGGCAGGGCTTCACCATTCCCTGCAGAAATGCATTTCTCTACAGACTGCAGAGGAAACCTGAATGATGGCTTAGGTGGAGGCTTCACTTTCAAATACCTGAAGGTAAAAAGCTGATCTTTAGTGGCTGCATTATTCATTGAACCTGTGAAATCTTACCTCACCTCCCCTGTGTTTCTTTGCAGCCCAGATGATGGATGGTGGATGGTCTACCAAGCTGTATAAATACCTAATTCATTTTCTAATCTTAAAAAAGCCCTGACTTTACCTTGGGGCAAAGACTTCTTAAGGTTAATTACACATCATGTAAAACTCTTTCAAAATCTTATTTAAGTTAGATGTCTTTCAATTTCCCAGAGTACCTTCTCCTTCACTGATGAGAAAGGATTGTTCACATTACCTTCTACATTCCTATATTTGGTCTACATTTCCGGACCAGTACTTTTTAAAAAAAAGTTGTTAAAATTAGCTACTTATATCCTTGTTTAGATGCTTAAGGAATTTCAAAATCAATTCATCTTAAGCTCAGGAACCCCTTTTACACTACCTATCCTTTTAAAATCCCAAGAAATACCTTTTTGTCACCAGGAGACTGAATTGCTGGAATACATGTGGACAGCCCAAAACAGTCACAGACAATCTGCAACTTGTGTTACATGAAGCAAATTACTTTCATGTACCTGGATTACCAATATCATAAAATGTTAAAGCTTTCACTTTTTCTGCAGCAGGAAGAGTAAGTCAAGAATTTACCTTCGTATGAAGATCGGCTCTAAAATGCTGCTGAACAGAGAAAGTCTGTTTTCAAAAAGCAGCTATTGAGCTCTCATTTAAAAAGAATAATGGCTGGTCTTCTCATGCTTTGAAGAGCTTTTTTTTGTTTGTTTGTTTTTTAATGTAACAAACTGAAGTTTTGAGCCGTATTTAGAGTAAACCTAGGCCTTTAATAAGACCCTACATAACTAATTGACTTTACATATTATAATTTTGTACAACCCTTTACAGTTTAACTTTACTTAACTTGAATTTATCACTCTTTTGACAATTCCAAGTATTTCCCTATGTCTGTGATAGTAGGAAAAGGCTGAGTAAGTACATGGACTGATGCCTTGGGCCCCAAAATAACTGTTTGGATAGGAAGGAAAAACACCAAAGTGAGTATACAGGACCTTTAGTAGCTGTTAGGGGTGATAAAACCCAAATAAAAACAGATGGATGATGTGCCCCCACAAAAGCATTCAGAAAGACCCGTGGAATTAATTTTAACATGGTGCAAATAAAGCAGAGAGGCAGATGTTTCCTGCAGGCAAGCAGGAGGGAAACACAAAATAAAGTGTGCTATTGTGTCTCCCCACTGCCTGCCAATATGAAGTAGTAGGGATGCTTTACTTTCCTTTTCTTTTTTTCTTTTTTTTTTTTTAATTTCAAGGATTAGAAAAGATTGATTTATTGAAGGAGCTGGAAAGTCCAGCACTCCCCTCATAAAGCAAACGGGTTCATCGTTAATTAGTGAGGGAGCATCTTCATGGCAAGAAAAATCAATAGCAAGCAATAAAAGAGTGCTTAAAGGATTTTGCCTTTGCATTTCATGACAAAGTTACCACCTTGATGGCATGAAGCCAAATGACTTCCTAATCTCCTTCCTTAGGCTGCTGGTGTTCATCACACAGCCTTCCAAGTCATCATTTACCAGTCCCATCTTCTGGCTCCCACACTGTCTCTGACAGTAGGCAGCCAGTCCCCTCAAGACATCTGTATCCATCTCAGGGGTCAGTGAGCCTGCCACAGCTTCATTTGCAGGAGAAACTCCTGCCTTTACATGCCTTGGCAAAAGGGTAATTTTATATATATTGAAAGCCATAGCCGCTTTTGATTTCCATCAGTAGATCTGCAAGTGTTAATCACACAAATGAGGCCAAACCTTCCTTGGCTCTGTGTGATGCCTAAGCCTATGGTTTGGGGCAACCAGTAGCTAGACTTTTCTGCCACAGGCAAAGCATCATCCCTTTCCTCTCAACTCACCCAGGGAAGTCATGTCCTGCTTTCTCAGACTTGTCCTTAATTATTGCAATTGGAAAGAGCAATTCTGTTAAGTTCATCTCATTTTCTGTAAGTAATTAATTACCCTCAGAATTGCTTACCCTGTTTATTTCCTTCCTCCTCACTTTGCAAAGGCATGGCACAATTATTCAAGCCACACTGATGTGTAACCACATATCTAATTGTTTCCACACTATATGGATTCAGCAAAGCCTTTAGACACATTTGTATTATCCAAATAGCACCAGCAGGGCTTGCTGACAAAGTGCTTAAAATGCATGGCCTTTTAAAACAATAATCATGATTTATGGGTTCACAGAAAGATTGTAGGTATTAAATATCTTCCAGGACACTCTCTCAAATCAATAACCACTGATTGATTTTTTTTTTTTTAGATTCAGAAAGGACAACACCTGTCACTGAGAAGATTAGTGCTATACAATCACCATTTAACATTAACACAACCATCACAAAAGCACAGGTAAACAACCAAACCCCCAAACCAAAACAATCAGATATCAACCAAACCCTCCTGTGAAAAACTCAAACAGCAGCAGATTGCAACAAATGAAATCAGATGCTGCCATCAACATCTCTGTTGGAAAAAGGCACGCAGACAAAAGTGCAGTCTCAGATGTTTTTCCAGCACTGGCAGGGTTTCTGCCTCTGAGGTGCTCATAAACTCGGCCCTTGGGCAAAATATAAATGTGCCATACCTTTTCTTGGTAGGAAGCTTGTACATAATTTGTTCTGTGCCAACTCCCAGTGGTTTTTCTGGGTTTGCGTTCTGCTGCCTGCTCAAGTTTGCTCATGCAGAGATGCAGATGAAGGTTACACGGGAGCAGCACTGAGTTACCAGGAGACTAAAAGGCAGGGTGCTTTCTTACATAGGATCCAGGGAGATGTGAGACAACTCTTGGCTTCTTCAGCCTGATAAAGAGGAGGCTGAGGGAGACCTCACAACTGCAGCTGCAGCTTTTTCATGGCGGGGGAAGAGGAGAA